AATACTGGACAGAGAGTTTCCATTGCCGTGGTATTTCTCTTAATTATCCTTATAACTGGGATAATCGTTACTGACAAAAAGAAAGCATAAAAGTTTTACCATCACTGAGTCTGCTAGGACTTTTTATTGGATTTAGTGATGCACCTTTAAATGAAACATGCTGCTTTTGGATTAACACCTAGTAAAGTAAAGGAAAATCTACAAGTACTTAAAAATGAAATCAAAATTGTTAACAGGCTCAGGGAAAATGCCAGCTTCAGCCCTGGGTGGCTATAATCCCTCTTTAATAAATTCCAGTCTCCTTTATGGAACTGGTTAACCCCTTTATTAAGCCCTCTCTTGGTAATATGCCTTGTATTGACATTTGAACACTGTATACTCAGTACTATAACTCAAATTGTTTCTTCTCGCCCAGAAGCAATCAAACTCCAAATGGTGCTACAAACTGAACCACACATGGACACGCCATTCTTCCGAGGACCCATAAATCAATAGAGAGGAAAAGGAGTCCTTGGGAAGTTTTCATCTTTTAAAGCATCTCTGGAAAAGTTTCTGGTAAAGCCCCAGGTCTTAGAGCCAGGCCAGCAACCTTTGATATACAAATGCAGCCCATTAGAAACTGGGTCCACCCAACATGGCAATTTGTGCACCTTCTTGCCCTTGCCCCACATGTTCTGGCAACGTGGTCGTCCCCACATATCCCCACGGTAGAATATCACAGCACCCCACATTTGCATATTAAAAGGTTAGAGTGGGAGGGCCAGCTACCCCCCACTCCCCTTCCCCACCCCCACCTCCCACCCCATCCCCACCCCTGTGTAAATGACATGCCTGGTCAAACCAAGTCCCTGAGCTCTAGGCAAATCAGACACAGCCTCCTCCAGCCTCTGCATATATACCTGGCTGGTCCACCACACTTGGGGACCTCCTCTTTCGACTTTGGAGCCTCCCCCAACTCTGTACAAGGCTAGCTTCTTCATTCCATCTTCTCCCTTCCTTCTTGCCCCTTCTTGCCTATTAAACTCTCTGCTCCTTAAAACCACACACATACACACACAAATGTGCCCACCAAGAATTACTACAAGGGTATAAGAAAGCATGCTGTACATTCTTTTTACATACACAAAGAACACATTGAAGAATAAATTGGCATGGAAAATGGTCTCTTTGAAGGCACAATAACTATTGTTTCCTTATTAAATCCAGTTTTCCAATTAAATGGAGCCTCACTGATCTACACTATGGCTGGGAGGTCCCACAGAGAATTTCTGAACTTTGTAGATTAGCAAAACACTATAATTGGGGTGGAGGGGGAGTCATGACACAGACTCCAGGAAAATAGAAAAATGACTGCCATTGTATTTATTTTGATAACTGGATTTAATTTTTAATTATTGAAATGCTTCATAATGGATAGTAAACATGGTGTAAACTTTTGCAACAATCATGAAAGATAGAGACAGGGAATTAATTTATTGATCACCTACTAAGTACTGGGTACTCACTGTGCTACTAGGTATCTTGTGTGATCCAGATAGTACTTTGCTAATAATAGCCATGGTTATTATTCCCAATGCTCAGAAATAAAAACCTGAGCCCCAAATGGGATTAATTCATTTGCCCCAGGGAGCACAGCTTGTAGGTTGGTGAGCTGAAGTTCTAGTCTTTTTCATGTCATAGAAAAAAGCTTAACCATATTTTGGTTTTTTGGCTTGTGTGTCAATTTCAAAAAGAATTATCATCATTTTCAAATTGGGTATTCTGAATACCATTGTTGTAGTCAAAATTGGCATTGCTGATCTGTGCTTCCATCACAACATCAAAATAAACCATGGAATCTTCTGATCACAAAAGCAACCATCAGGTAATCATCTTATCTGAACTTCTAGTTGAGAAGCTGAAAGTTACGAATTTTGTTAAATATTTTAAATCTACTTTTATTTGCAGGATATAACTAGATACTTGCCCAAATTGAGGATGTAAACATCAAACAGACCAGGTAATCATTTGCGTTCCTTAAAAATTAGAGTTTCACTGATAATATCAGAGTTTTAAATATAAAAATGCTTGTCAACACACACACACACACACACACACAATACTTGTTTTATTGGCATTCACACACTTATTTTTCTGAAACTCTGAAGAATAAAACTTTACACTTACTACCTCCCCATCTCATTCCCTCCCTAGCCCCTACCAAATGTTTGGGTCTTCTTATTTCCTCCTAGTTTCAGTAAAAGTTGAAAGAACCAGTTCATTTTGTGATCAATAAGCACTTCATGAGTGTCTACACTGAATCAGATACCTACGTCTAGAAACACATCGAGATGAATAATTCAGGGTCCCTGCTATCAAGGAGATAAGAGTTGATCCAGTAAAAGAAACAGTGGTTTCACTTTATAGAAAGTTCGAGAACAAAGATATGTGTAAACAGACACCAGAACATATAAAAGGCCAAGCTGATCCAGCCTGATGGTTTGTGGAATGGGGTCATCAGAGGATTCTTGGAACAGGTGATGTTAGAGCTGAGAGCAAGTGCATAGTCTGGAGAGGAACTAAGCCAAAGCTACCACCAACTAGAAGAGAGAGAATGGGAAAAAAACAGATGCTAGATTAATTTCACTAGACTACTGCTACTCTATCAATGAGTTTTAATTTATCACAGCTATAAGGATTTGGTTAATCACCTCTATTTGTAAAAGGCCATAGGAGGGGTTCTGAGGATGATCTAGACCAGAAGAAAATGAAAGTTGAAGCTGACGTGATGGCAGTGAGGTGGAGAGGTAGAGATAGATCCAAAAAACTCATCAAGCAGATTTAGCAAACCTACTGACTGATTGGTTGTGCAGATATTAGAGAAAGGTATCAGGGATGACTTCAGCAATTCCAGCTACAGTCATTTTGTACAAGTTTTTAGGAACACATGCTAAATGTATTTTGGTCATAATAAATTTAAAATGCTGATGAGACATACATGTAAAGATGTCAGGCAGAGAGGCAGGTACACAAGTCTGAGCTGGATAGATATTTAGAGGCCAAAGATACATGGTGATGAAGAGAGAGCAAATGTGTAGATCTCCCTCATTCCCTCTCTCTTTCTCTTTCTAACATAAATTAAGAAGATGAAAGCAGAGAAAACCATGATAAGCATCTTTAGAAACCCATCCATCATAGGGAATAAACTTATAACTAGATCTACAGGGTTTAGTTTGACCAATTTGCCCAGATTCAGAAACAATTATGCTGTGCTAAAGTTTTCATCTATATTTGTGTATATGAAGAACATGATTCATACAATATATAACGATAAAATAAGAAAAAAGAAGTCCTGTAATTTCCATTTTTTAAAAGGCCTATAGGCTGCTAAAAAGTGATATGGTATTCTAGTCAGAATCATAACTCGGATTAGATAGATACACAGAAGATTTAGAGGTAAATCCTATTAATTGTTACCATTTTGAACTATCAAATCAATTAAGGTTTCAAACAAAAATGTAATCCAGAAATGGCATATAATATATTGATAAAAAGAGGGAGATGTTAGTTGAAAAGGAGTTGACTTGTTAGTCAAAGAGTAGATGACTGAGTTTTCTCATTCATTCTCAATTTCTTCTTAATAGGGATCACCTACCGCCTTCCATTTCTGAGCTCCCTGGAATCATTCTTCCTGATCATCTCCTTCTATTATACTTTTCTTAGCACACAGATGAATAGCTCAGTCATCTAAGCATTAACTAATGTCAGTGTCTGTGACATTATGGGAGGGCATTATGTAGCATATAAGGCACTTGCTTTTAAGCAGTCATTCTAGAACAGATTGAAGATTTGCTTGGATCCATATGCATGCTGTCTACAAGATAATAGGTACAAAATGCCTAGCAAAAAGTGCTGTACATAGTAGGTGTATTAGCCTGTTCTCACATAGTAAGACATACCTGAGACTGGGCAATTTACAAAAGAAAGAGATTTAATGGATGTACAGTACCACATGGCTGGGGAGGTCTCACAATCATGGTGGAAAGCAAAAGGGATCAAGCCACATCTCACATGGATGTCAGCAGGCAAAGAGAGAGAGCTTGTACAGGAAATGTTTTTAAAACCATCAGATCTCATGAGACTTATTCACTATCACAAGAGAGATCTCAAGAGACTTATTCACTATCACAAGCACGAGAAAGACCCACTCCCATGATTCAATTACCTCCCATTGGGTTACTTCCATGACACATGGGAATTGTGGGAGTTACAATTCAAGATGAGATTTGGATGGGGACACAGCCAAACCATATCAGGTGATCATTTAATTTCAGTTGTTCTTTTTTAAAATCTCTGCTATCAACCATCCTCTCCTTCCAAGGAGTCTATTACAGTTGTCCAGACACTATACGGACTCCACTTTCTGTAATTTCTATATGGCAACGTTTGCTTAAACATATTTCTACATTCTATACATTTAAATTATATCCTTTAGCGGTAGTAAGAAACTCTTAGCTCTTTAAAGACAACAATAAATTGTAGCTAATGTATTTATTGTTTCCTATGTACCAAAACATTCTCAATAACTCTAAAGGAAGGTTCTACTATTACCTGTTTTACAGATGAGGAAACTGGGGCATGGGTTGACCAGTTAGTCAGTGTCAAGATGAAGAGGGAAACTCAGGCAGCCTAACTCTGGAACCTACAATTCAATCACCACATACAAAATAAATGTTTTCTTGAGTGTCAGGAGACAAGAAAATTTTCTGAGGTGCTCCATATAAAAGGGTCCCATAGTTAAGTGACCTTGAAATACTGAATACATAGATATATGTAAAACTCTTTCAAAAAGTAAATATCTTAGTAGTCCTATTCCAAAGAAGTCTGCTCAATTTTATTTGATTCATTCCTTTCCAAACTTTAAACCTTGAAACCTGTTTTCATGTGGGTTCTAACCACATCTCCCAGAATTGATACCTGTGCACAAGACTTTCAAAAAGTGTTCAGAAGTGGCCTCTTACCTGTGGCACTGAAAGATTTGGAGGTTCATGGCTGTCCCACAGGACAAATTCAAAAGAATCTTCAAAGATTTCTCTACCAAAGTGACGATAATAAATGATTCCATTAAACAAATCCCTCTGAAGGAAGCCAGGCACAGGATAGCCTATTGGGTTCATAAAATACCACATACTTTTGTACGAGTCTATCAAATATCAAGGTAAAATTATATTGAACTTATCTTCAAAAGTCTTATCTGTCTAGTATGTTCTATGTACCCAAGGAATCTGCATTAAATGTTTTCATCAAAGGTAAATAATAAAGCAGACAAATAATAAATAATAAAGCAGGAAAATTAAAGTCACTACATCTGTCTTGATATATGGAAAAACTGGCATTAGAAAAATATTTTCAAGAAACTTACTCTTATTTCAAATATTCAAAGTAACACTAACTACTTACTTGATTCCTATTTTGTCAAACTCCAGATGTACCTAATTTAAGAAGTAGTTATGAAGTCATTCTAACAAAATGTAAATAAATGTTGTTCATGAAATTATCAATAATCTAGACTAGTCCAAACATCTCCTTTTAGACTAATTTGTTCTATCACCTTGCTTGGCTGACCTAAGTTTTCATAGTGTTTGTTACTTTGAGGCTCAGCTCTGGAAATCTGTAGACGTACAAGCTTGGATAGATCAAATTAGCTTTCCTAAATCTCAGACTTCCTCATTATAAAATAAGAATAAAAATACTATCTTACTTCAGAAATTTGGTGTTCACCTTAATGCAAACTCTGAGACAATTCAGCAAACCCAGAAGGGTGCGTAGAAGGTTCTCCATGGAAGAGTGAATGCCATTCAAATGATCTTAACTGCCCAGAACTTACCTATCAGTCCTGGCCCTGGCTTCTTCATGATCTCCCCAGCCTGCGGAGGTTTCGTGATATTGAAGAAGATGTAGTCATCACTGGCATCCACATCCGAAGCTCGCAGCATGGATCCCTGGATCAGGATGGTCTGCCCCTCCTCCAGTTCAATCACAACATTGGTTATGAGGAATGGGGGACTATCATCTTTAGGCAGGATGTTGATGGGGAATTTGTGATGGATGCTGTGATGGCCATCAAATATCCGGAAGACCACGAAGTCTTTGGTGGAGTCACTGTCATCATGATGATAGCGAACAACTCCAGCCTGGAGGTCAGCCACAGTGAAGAGAAATCCTTTCCCCCCTGAGGGAGAGAGCAGAGATGGAGCAGATTGAGCGAGAAGGTGCAGGAGCAGCAGCTGTGGGAAAAGCATCATTACAGCAGAGGCTGCTATGGAAAATGTGCAGCCTGTATTTCCCTCACCTGGAAAAACTACAGATTGTTAGTGAGTTCTGGGACAATACATCTAGTTTTGAATATTGGCTGCAACATGTATTAGTTGTACAGATTCGAGCAAGATATCTAATTTATGAAACTCATCTGTAAAACATGGATAACACTACTGTGATGAACTTTTTCTATCACCTTGACTGGGCTAAGGAATGCCCAGACAACTGGTAAAACATTATTGCTGAGTGGTTCTGTGAAGACGCTGTTTTTTGAAGTGATTAGCATTCGAATCAGTAGACTGAGAAAAGATCACGCTCACCCTTGTGAGCAAGCATCAACCAATCCATTGAGGAACTGAACAGAACAAAAAGGCAGAGGAAAGGAGAATGCTCTCTCTGCCCTCTGACACTGGAGCTCCTGGCTCTTGAGCCTTTGAACTCTGGAACATAAACCAGCCACCCTCTAACACCCCATGTGTCCCTCCACCTTCCACCTCCCTCCATCCCACTCACTCTCTCCATTCCCCTTGCCCAGCTTCTCAAGCCTTTGGCTTTGGACTGGGAGTTGCATCATCAGCTTCCCTGGTTCTTAGGCCTTCAGACTAATTCCCATGACTTCATGGGCTTTCCTGGTTCTCCAACAGCCTAACATGAAACCTCTCAGCTTCCACAATTACATAAGCCAATTCCCATAATAAATCACCTCATAAATAGGTAGGTAGGTAGGTAGGTAGGTAGGTAGGTAGGTAGGTGATAGATAGATAGATAGATAGATGATAGATAGATAGATAGATAGATAGATAGATAGATAGACAGATAGATTACGTAAGCCAATTCCCATAATAAATCACCTCACAGATAGGTAGCTAGTTAGGTAGGTAGGTAGGTAGGTAGAGAGATAGACAGACAGACATTCTGTTGGTTTAATTCCTCTGGAGAACCCTTACTAATATAAATACCTCATAATCCATGGCAAGAATGAGAAAATTTAAGCAATAGTAAGCCTACAATAAATGTTGGTTATTCTTCAGCTAATTGCTACCATTCTACATGGCAGCAGTTCTTAGAGGAGTGGTCTCAAACCAGCAGCCTTGGTACCTTCTGCAAAGTTGTTATAGATGCAAATTCTCAGGCCTTATCCTGGACCTGCTGAACTAGACATTCAGAGGTGGGTGAGAAGGAGGCAACAATCAGTGTTATCAAGCCCATCTGAAAATTATTGGCTCAAAGACCAAGAGCTAGAGCTCTGATATCTAACAGACTAAGTTCAAATCCCAGTTCTGCCATCTTCTGGGTGTGTAACCTTAGATAAGTCAGTTGTTCTAAGTCTCAGCCATTTGTAAAATGGGAATAATAGTATCTAACATCATAAAGTTGATATGAGATAAATGAGATAAAGTATACAGAATGCTTTGCACAGTATCTGTCACAAAGTAAATGCTTAATAAATGGTCATACCATACTATTTTCTATCTCCTCTGAACCTGGAACATCATTGCATTATGGGCTCCCACTCCCCATTTCATTTCTATAGTATTAATAAACATGCTTTGTTTTCTTCAGAGACTTACAATTCTTTTTATTTTATTTTTTTTGAGATGGCGTCTCCCTCTATCACCCAGGCTGGAGTGCAGTGCAGGCACAATCTTGGCTCACTGCAATCTCCACCTTCCAGGTTCAAATGATTCTTCTGCCTCAGCCTCCCAAGTAGCTGGGACTATAGGAATGCACCACCATGCCTGGCTATTTTTGTATTTTTAGTACAGACAGGGTTTCATCATGTTGGCCAGGCTGTTCTTGAACTCCTGACCTCAAGTGATCCACCAGTCTTGGCCTTCCAAAGTACTGGGATGACAGGCATGAGCCACCACACGTGGCCAGAGACTTACAATTCTTAATGGCAGGTGCACCCATTACTCTCTTCATACCATGCAGTTGTGTTAAAGACCTTAGAGGAATAAACAATATAACACTTTCTTGCCCAAGAGCCAAGTTATGCTTCTAAGTAACAGAATCCTAGTTGTATTTGCATAGCAATACGGTCATTTAAAAATACTCAGTCTTGCAGGGCACGGTGGCTCATGCCTGTAATCCCAGCACTTTGGGAGGTCAAGGTGGGCAGATAAGGATCGCAAGGTCAAGAGATCCAGACCATCCTGGCCAACACGGTGAAACCCCATCTCTACTAAAATATAAAAATTAGCTGGGCATGGTGGCGCACACCTGTAGTCCCAGCTACTCGGGAGGCTGAGGCAGGAGAATTTCTTGAACCTGGGAGGCGGAGGTTGCAGTGAGCCAAGACTGCACCATTATACTCCAACCTTGTGTCTGGTGACAGAGTAAGACTCTGTCTCAAAAAAAAAAAACCTCAGTCTTCCCAAATCCCTTGAACTGAGGAGTAGTATGTGACATAGTTTGATAAGAAAATCTAAGTGGAAATTGTTGTATTGTGCTCCTGGGAAAACTTTTTAAATAGAGCAAACTTCTTTCATGGCATGACCTCTTTCATTGTTCCTTCTGTGTCTTCCAGCTTCAAAGACATGAAGAAAATAATTAATTTTCAAGCCACTGCACTTGGATTTCTCTTACATACAACTGCACACCCACCCTGACTGATACACTCAGATTTAAACTGGCCTCCCACTATCCTGGGATTAAGCGGGAGGATTTATCATACATTTATCATTTTGCTTTTGATTCCAGAATTCCCTAATCACAAATGATAATGAGAGCTTTCTTTCTGCTTTACAGTTAGCAAACTAAGAAGATAATTGAATTAAATCCTCTGAGTTCATTATAAGGAATGGCTTACTTTATCATAAAGTATAAATATTACTTTTATTAGAATTACTACCTTGTTAATTATCATCCTGTGAATAATTATAAATTCAGTTCTTTTAAACTATAACAACTACTTCTAATAACATAAAACCATTATTACTAAAATATTCATTAAGAATTGATTTTTCTTTTTTTTTTGAGACAGAGTCTTGATCTGTTGCCCAGGCTGGAGTGCAGTGGCTTGATCTTGGCTCATTGCAACCTCCACTGCCCAGTTTCAAGCAATTCTCCAGTCTCAGCCTCCTCAGTAGCTGGGACTACAGTCTCCTGCCACCACGCCCAGCTAATTTTTGTATTTTTAGGAGATGGGGTTTCACCATATTGGTCAGGCTGGTCTTGAACTCTAGACCTCACGTGATCCATCTGCCTCGGCCTCCCAAAGTGCTGGGATTACAGGCGTGAGCCACCACACCCAGCCTAATTTTTCAATATAACTTTTTTGAAGCAGAAAAATTAAAAACACTGTCCTCCAACTGGGAAAAATATAACTGGTTAAAGAGTAAACTTAGAAGGAGCCTTGCATGGCATCCAGAAAGCAAAACTGAGGTTTAAATAACGAGCTGCGCACAAGGTACTGTTTATAAATGGTTAGACATTGATCTGAGCATTTGAACACAAAAGTCAATGGTTTTAAGATCTCCAGATGTTCTGCATTTGACAATTTCATTGAGAAATGGGGCCCAAGAGATGCTACATATATTTGTTAAATATGTATACTTTTGAAGAAAATAATTTTAGATTCTTTGCTAGGTTATCAAGTTGGATCATTCACCTCTTAATGTTAGCCATCCATGCTGCAGGCCACCAACGGTGACTAGCCGGACAGCACCAAGGTCATTATTGTCAACAACCTGAAACTGTTCCCAAGTGATGGCTCGAGACTGCCCCTCCAGGAGATTCAGACCTATGAGAGAAAGGAGAAAAGGGTTTTGGCATGACAGACTGGATAAAGAAAATGTGGCACATATACACTGTGGAATACTATGCAGCCATAAAAAAGAATGAGTTCATGTCCTTTGCAGGGACATGGATGAAGCTGGAAACCATCATTCTCAGCAAAATAACACAGGGACAGAAAACCAGATTCTGCATGTTCTCACTCATAAGTGGAAGCTGAACAATGAGAACACATGGACACAGGGAGGGGAACATCACACACCAGGGCCTGTCAGGAAGGTGGGGGGAAAAGAAAGGGAGAGCATTAAGAAAAATACCTAATGCATGCGGGGCTTAAAACCTAGATGATGGGTTGATAGATGCAGCAAACCACCATGGCACGTGTATACCTATGTAACAAACCTGCACGTTCAGCACATATATCCCAGAACTTAAAAGAAAAAAAGAAAAGGACATTGGCAAGTTCTATGGCATGCCAATGTGCCTGCTTAAGAAAAGATGAATGCATTTCCACTCATTAAACCATCTGAATACTAGATCTTTAAAAGGTTTTCAAGAAACTGGAATTTGCTTTTATTTTTAGTACTATTTTTATTTTCAGTACTATTAACTCCAATATTACAACAGATTGCAGAGAGTCCTGAAAGGGACAGAGCAAGCTGGTCGAATCGCAAGGCAGTGTGCTGCTGGACCTATCTTATGCTTCCCTCATATCTGCCAGCTTCACCCCCACCCCGGCCGCAACCAACTGCCTGTTCTGTAGCTGCAGCTGCCCCAAAAGGGTTCCCTGTCTCCAACGTTGTAAATCCCGCCTGCCTCCACTGCGTCATCTTCTGATGCAGCTGGCTACCTCCACTGCCCCAGGGGACCCACGGAGTGTGTGCAGCGGCTGCTAAGAGGGGTCAGGTAGCACAATCTGGGCATGTGGCTGGGGTTAACATCCAGTGAAGTAAACCTTAATCCATTAAAGACAGGAAATGGGAAATAACTGACCATTAATAGATTGCTGACCTTTTCCCCATCCCACTTTTAACTCTTCCCAGACACAGAGGTTCCATCTCCTCCCTGGAGATATCAGCACTACAGAGAAATCTGCTTTATTTTATAAAGCTGTGACCAGCTCAGCCATGCTACGTTTTCCCTTACTATTGACGTCAGCATAGGGTTAGTACATCTGATCTGCTGCAGGGTCTGTTTTCTAGAGGAACTGGGCTAATACATATATAAAGGAGGGGGAGAGAGAAAAGGGAGGGAAGGAAGGAAGGAAGGAAGGAAGAAAGGAAGGAAGGAAGGAAGGAAGGAAGGAAGGAAGGGAGGGAGGGAGGGAGGGAGGGAGGGAGGGAGGGAGGGAGGGAGGGAAGGAAGGAAAGAAGGAGGGAAGCAGGGAAGGAGGGAGGGAGGGAAGAAGGAAGGAGGGAGGGAAGAAAGAAGGAAGGAATGAGAGAAGGAGGGAAGGAGGGAGGGAGGGAGGGAGGGAGGGAGGGAGGAAGGAAGGAAGGAAGGAAGGAAGGAAGGAAGGAAGGAAGGAAGGAAGGAAGGAAGGAAGGAAAGGGAAGGGAAGGGAAGGGAAGGGAAGGGAAGGGAAGGGAAGGAAGGAAGGAAAGGAAGGAAGGAAAGAAAGGAAGGAAGGTGCATAAGAATCTCTGTGACTGGCCGTAAGGGTTTGGAAGCCAGGAGTGCACCGGACAAGGTGTCACAGAGCACAGCAGAGGAACAATTGAGAAGCCTATAAATGTATACAACAAAATATTAACATTGGTTATATTAACATTGGAAATAATAACTTTAATGTAAAGTATTCTTCAAATTTCAATGATGATGCAGATCAAGTTCATAATAAGCAAACATTTATTTTAAAAAGGATTCTTTTGTAAGAATGCTTTGATGTTCAAAGCAGCCAAAATGACATTGAACAAACCCGGATGTCACCGATGACACATACACATACAGACTATTCTGTCTCTACGCTCAAACAGGAGTCCATGCAACATGTGATTATTCCTAAACTTCAGCTTACCAATTCCATCTCTTCTCTCATTACCCTCCTGACAGATGTAGAGTAGGATACAGAGCCAGAATTATAAATCAGGGCTGCTCACCTGATGTTCTCTATCTCTACTGAAACTCGCATACATACAAACAGATAGCCATGTGTGCACATGCACCAAGCAGCTTGTTTAAGCTGCCACCTGAGGATTTAAATCAGACACAGATATTTTCGCCTTAATACAATCTATCACCATTTCTTCTAAGTATGTTTCAAATGGTATAGATGGGATCAGTGAGAATGGAAAAAGTCTCCATTTACATTCCACATTTACGTCTGATCACATAAGTCCACTCAGACTTGAGAGGCATAGAAAGGAATATTTTAAAGCAGTTAAAGCTCTTATTTATGTATTTCAGTTTCCATGCAGCCCAACATAAACACAGACTATGGATTACAAAAGCTAAACCTTTCTCCAATCCCTTGGAACAATTTGAGTTGGAGATTTCAGTCCCACTACAGCTCAATAGCACAAATAGTCACTTTTTTGCTTCATTCAGTTGAAAGGTGTCCTTCTGTCATATCTCCAGCAGGGGAAAGAACTTGGACTCAGGACACAGAAATCCTGGATTTAAATTTCTCACACTGCCAGTAGGAATAAAAAAAAAACAAAAGCTACTATCTGATGCCCTTAATCTATCTGGGCTTCAGTTCCCTCATGTAAGAAATAGGAATAAAACTACCTTTCTTTCCTGACCCATCTACTTTCTTGTATTCCCTTCAGGGCTATGTTGCTTGATGCCTTATATCGAGTTTTACCTGTATTCCAGGATACACGGGGGGCATTTGTATCTGCTGTTCTGATGGAAATGTGGACTGTCATAGGTGCACTCCTTTCAAAGAAGAAGTCATATACCTCCAATTCTACCTGTAAACAAACAGACGCAAGTGAGCCACACACTGAAACGTTACAGGGTAAAGTGGTATTAATTCTGGAGTATACCCACACACAGAGGCAAACAGAGATTCAGGTGTCTGCTGTTCCCACATCTCATTTTTGACAACCTGATTTGAAGTTTTCAGGTTCTAGATCTTGTTCCTTACTTTAGCAGTATTTTTAAATTTTCTTCTATGTAAAAGTATTAATCTAAAATTGGTAATATATTGGAGAAGTGTCTCTGCACTGGCTCGGGAGACTAACTCATTCCCACATTCAGTCACTTAAATCTCTCTCAAAGGTAGGAGATCTAGAGAAGTGATTTTCAACTAAGGGTGATGTCCCCTTTGAGGACTTTTGGGAATGTCTGAAGCATTTTTGGTTTCAGAAGTGGGTGTGTGGGAGAATGCTATTGTCATCTAGTGGGTAGAGGCCAGGGATACTAACATCCCACTGTACACAGGACAGCCTCCCAAACAAATAATTATCTGATACAAAATGGTAATTGTCGTACTGCTACCATCAAGAAACTCTGATCTAGAGACAACTATGCCATTAGACATACGTTAAATATTTCAACTTTATTCGCTTTCATGAAATTCACAACTAATAAGTAGGGGCTACGTGATGAGTTTTGATCTTTGTTACGCACTGTGTATATATTGCACCAGAGGTTGACAGAGAAGAATGAGGTATAACACAGAAATGCAAGGCATACTCCCTACTTTTGAAGAACATGTGGTTGGTGGGAGAGGATAAGAGAAATATTCAGACAGCAATATATCAGCAAATACTGAATAACAAAAGAAACTGATTCAAGTCTGCCAAAGCAACAGACTGAAAAGGAAACTCCATGGGCAGGAGGCATAATGTAAATATGTATTCAGTTGGGCCCCTGGCCCCGGGCTTCCAGTCCACACAACTTGAAAAGTGTGTGATCTCTACTGAAAAACTTGAGTTACCTTCTAACGAAAAAAAAATAACACATTTGCACAGGTTCTGCTTTAAGAGCACATTATACAATGCCAGGAAGCGGCCAGAAAAGTGGTGCTCTATTTGAGAGCTCCAAGGAAGACTGGATGCGCAATGAGAAATTACTTCCTAACAGGGAAGGCATGGGAGGCCAGGGACTATGATGAAGAGGGGGAAATAAAAGCAGAAGGCAAAGCATAGCATTTATAGCCTGAAGTCTTTCGTCTCCCCTCGAGGCTACATGCTGAAAATGCCTACATTACAATGAGGACAACTTCATAACCCCAGGGACACTCATTTTCCTTAATAAACTTGAACTCAAGTCTGTACCAGTCTGCTGGTTTAAAATTTCCATCCTGTTTGAATCAAGTTGCTGGTAGGTCTTTAAGTATGTGAAGCATTGTTATGTGGAAGACTTTAACCAGCTGTCCTCCACTCCCACTGAGTACAAAACCAGAGGAAAGAGGTTGAACCTGAAGCAAAAGGGATTTAGATAGAAGTAGCACCTTCCTGATGGACAGTGTTTCATCGTGAAATTAGTTATCAAATGAGACTATGGGATCTCCTATCCTGAGTCTGTGTTATTAATTAAAATTAAGGATTCCCATAAAAAATTCTCACAAAAAAGAGTAAAAGAATTGATTAATAAAAGAATTGTGGGCTGGGTGCCATGGCTGACACCTGTAATCCCAACACTTTGGGAGGCTGAGGTGGGTGGATCATGAGGTCAGAAGTTCAACACCAGCCCAGCCAATATGGTGAAACCCATCTCTACTGAAAATACAAAATACTAGCTGGGCATGGTGGCATGCGCCTGCCGTCCCAGCTGCTGGGGAGGCTGAGAGAGGAGAATTGCCTGAACCCAGGAGATGGTGGTTGCAGTGAGCCAAGATCATGCCACTGCACTCTAGTCTGGGTGACAGAGCAAGACTCCATATAAAAAAAAAAAAAAAAAAAAAACAAAACTGTGTGCTTGCCTCGGCAGCACATATAATAAAATTGGAACAATACAGAGAAGATTAGCATAGCCCCTACACAAGGATGACACACAAATTCATGAAACATTCCATATTTTGGGGGAACAACACACACTGGAGCCTGTCGGGGTGAGGGGTGGAGGGAGGGAGAACATTAGAAAAAATAGTTAATACATGCTGGGCTTACTACCTGGGTGATGGTTTCATGGGTGCAGCATGTTTACCTATGTAACACACCTGTACATCCTGCTAATGTACCCCAGAACTTAAAAAGAAGAAACACACCAAAACATTTTTTTTTTAGATAAAAGAGTTGTAAACATAAGCCATCTCTAACTTCAGTGGTCTCTGTGATGCAGGAAGGCTGTGGAAGGCTGCCACAGTTCTCAAACTCATGAGCTCTGGGCCAAAGGTAGCCCTCAGAAATATTTGGTAGCTGGCACAATACATTTCACTACAATTTTTATTTGTTTTCTATATTCAAGAATGCAAGCATTTTACCAAAAAATGTATCATTCTCCAACTTCTCTTGGCACATGAGTGCTACAGCAACAGTGGGCACACTTGTATCCTTACAGGGCAGTGGTGGGCACAAGCTGAGTGGCAGCTGCTTCCTGAGAGGCTGGCTCTTGCTTCAGTTTGCCTCAGTGCCCCCTCAGTGGGGTTTGCTCATTGACCCCACCTGCCTGGCTCCTCTGGGCAGTTAGTTTGCATCCTGATTTACAGTGATTGATTCTTTTCTGAAGCAATGAATGTACAAAGGAACCTGAGGGTTCAAGGTAGGGGCTTCTTAACTAACCCTGTGACTTCTGACTAGGCTGGAACCTTTGTCTCTCCTCACCTCATCATGTCTTCTCTCAGAATGACTACTGTTTGGTGGCTGATAGGCGATCTGTATGTCACTGAGATCCTTCCAGGTGAATGAGGAGATTGGTCTGGTGTGATCCAACAGGTGAGTCACATAGCCCCAAAGTGGGGCTTTAGTAATGTTGAACACCAGCAAAGGTTTAGGGGTCTCATCTTCTTCACAGTCCAGAACTGATGTAGTCAAGGAGGTCAGGATGAACTGATCCACTTCCAGAATAAACATGGCCATGAACGCAGCCTTTGGAATCTGATTCGGAATTCCAGCTCTGATATAGACAGGCAGCCATGCACTCTCTGACTTTTGAAGGAGAAAGAAAATGCAAAGGAGGAAATAATATGAATGAAGCAATATCTTGCAGGGCCAATAGCATAATATTCAATACAGCCACAGCCTAGAGGATGTGACCTCTAGGTGACCTGAAACCTGGCTGCATATTGGAATCACCTCGGGAGCTTTAAACACATGCTGGTAACTAGGATCCATCTGCAGAGGTCCTTGTTTAATTGTTTCAAAAAGGGAACCAGAAAACCAGTATTTCTCGAGATCCCTGGTGACTCTTACATGCAGCCAGGTGAAGAAGGGAGCATCTACTTTAGCATCAGAAGGAACTGTGCTTATCATTCTATCTCCAACACTTTTAATTTGTGTGGATTTAGACAAGTTACTTAACTCTTAAGTCTCATTTACTTTCCAGCTGTAAATGAAAATACTGATACTAGACTCCCAAGTATTAAGTGAGAATAAATGAAATAGCCAAAGTAGGCACTTAGCAGTCTGGCACCCACCAACAACCATCTCCAGCCACCTTGCTCACCTCCTGTCATGTAGTTTTAAAGGGGGCAGGAGAAGGATGAAGGAAATATGTCTTTAAAATTTGGTTCTCGTGCAAATGAAGAACAGTTGCTTGGTTGTCTAGTTAGTTAAGACCCCGAATCTCCAAGCAAGGGCTGGGTATTGGGGATTGCAACTGACCACTGAGAGTAGGAATGCATCCTCCCAAAATGAGAGCACTATGAGCAAGAGACTCTTCAAAGAAACCATGAAATTGTGTCACAAGGTCTAAGATCTCAACAAGTGCTATGGGCAGAGAGAATCCTCATAGGGCGAGGTGTGATAGCTCATGCCTGCAATCCCAGCACTCTGGGAGGCCGAGGTGTAAGGACTGCTTGATGCCAGGAGTTTGAGACCAGCCTGCGCAACAGAAGGAGACCCTGTCTCTACAAAAAAGTAAAAATAAAAAAAATTAGCTAGCCATTGTGGTGCACACCTATAGTCAATTACTCAGGTGGCTGAGGCAGGAAGATCACTTGAGCCCAGGTATTTGATATTATGGTGAACTGTGATCATGCCACAGCACTCTAACCTGGGCAAGAGTGACACTTTGTCACTAAAAAGAAGAAAAAAAGAATCCTCACAGCAGTAGATGCCTGCTTTTATGGGAGTTGACCTATGTCACTGCTGAGAGGACCAGGCTCAGTTATCAAATTCACATTAGTCCAATACTGCTTAACACTGACCATTGGGCTAGGAGTTGTAATCTGTGTATAACAGAATGCTAAAGTTCCAATAAAAGAGATTAGATTTCCAAGTTGATGTAAGACAGGTAGTAAAATATGCAGAATTTACAAAGCAAGTTGTCTGGAACTAGTTCCAGAACTTTCTTGCCCGTATAAGAATATAAAAAGATTGAGACAGGTAAGAGAAATATTGATCAGGGGAGAGGAGCGCTTTGCTGTGTTGTACTCAGTTACTTCCCCAACCTTCGACATCACATGCTGGCATGGAGCAGGAAGAGCAGGGCAATGCCCTATCCCCCGTCCCTTAATGTGTGTTTCTTGCAGTTGAAGCACACACAGAGAGCTGATGCAGGGCTCATATCTGAGGAAGCTAAGTGGCTGGAAGCAGAAAAATAATGATAGCTTTGCCGGAATCAGTCTGTTATTGTTTGTGTCAGCAAGGGACATATAAATGCTCCTAGATATAGGCCAAGTGGGCAGAGGGCTGGTCTGGGGTTTTCCTGGACTCTGAACTTCAGAAACCTCTCTTGAGAGGCCAAAAATCCAATAACAAAATGCTGGAGATGGAATCAAATCCTAGGAGCTAAAGGAGAAATTGCAAGTGACAACTCAGACTAGAAATACATCATCTTAAGAGAGCTATGAGTGATAGATCAATGGGGCTTTCCAGAGAAACCATGAATTTGTCCCTAAGACAAAGATGCAGCTTGAGACATCTACCAGGCTCAGAGGTCATAAAATCATATCTCATCAGTGCCTGATTAAGTAAGATCCCCCTCTCCCACTCTCCAAAACCAACCCTGCCACCAGCCTGAAAGTTCAGAAGCTAACCAGCAACGCTCAGAGAAAAGAGAATTGCAAGAAAGGAACAGAGGAGAAGACCATCAACCCCTCCCCTTCCCACTGCATGGTTGATGAAGCCAGGTGGACAATATACTGAGATGTCCCAGGGTTTAGAGTATCTACTCTTAACATGCCACTGGGGAAAAAATGCTTTGAAGATGCATAATTAGAAAACTAAAGAGTGGGTCAATTGTGATTTAAAAGGACTGGTGCTGAATGCTAAGACTAATTGAGTCTAGAGTCAAGTCTAAATAAGTAAGTTACTTTAAACATGTTAATAAAGTGGATACAAATGTTGAAAGAGCCTACCGCTTATAATAAGGTATAAAAATCATGTGATAGAACTGAAATTGCAAATTATAGAAACAAAGCAATTGCCAGGAGAAAGGATCAATTGGATCAATTCTCATCATACATAGGAAGGAGACAAGAGAGTTCACTTCATTTTTTGACTGTATATATTACAAATGTAGGCTTAATAATATTTTTGTTTAGAATTAAGTCCAAATGAAACATAAAATGTGATAAGAAATTGTCAAATAAGGAAAGATAAAGAAAAAAAAATCTATTTTGCAAGACAAATTTTTTTAGTTAGCAAGAAAGCATAAAACATGATAGAAAAAAGTGTCTATTACTACCATGAAGACAAAGTTTGCATTTCCTTATTCAAGACAAATATTCTGAAATTCCATAAAAATGTCCAAATTATATGTACCTTACAAGAAAGTCACTTAAAATTACATGGAAAGATTAAAAGGAAAAAGGTAATACAAATTTATCACATAATGGAAAAAGCAGAGAGAACACATAATTTCAAAGATGAATTCAATGTGGACAATTGACATTAGTAAAAAATATGAGATGCTATGCAACAATCTTGTATGTTCTTCACAAAACCTAAAACACAATAAAATATATATATTTTTTAAATGAGACAAAGATTATTTTAAATAACATTATATTTAATATTGTTCTGCCTAACCCAGTGGGGAATAGAGCAAAAATAAGAAGAATAATTACAGAAAAAGAAAGAACAAAATTATCATCATTTGTGAAAGATATAATTATGGTCTTTAAAGCCCAAAGAATTGAGAATTTCTTAAAATAACAGAATTTAGGAAAGAAGCCAGATACAAGAAAATTATTCCAAAAATAGCTTTTCTGTTTATCATAAATAACCAATGAGAAGATATAATGGGAGAAAAATATTCTATTCGCAATAGGTTCACAAAAACAAAGGGCCTAGGACTAGACTTAATAAGTATGCTCAATTTACATGAAGGAAACTCTAAACTTTACAGAAGCATATAAAAGAATCTTTATCCAAATGAAGTGAGATACTTCATTTCTGTATGAAAAGACCCTATATGATAAATGTTTCATTATTCTAATTTTCCCCAAATAATTTATAGTTTAACTGGATACTAACAAAAATCCTTAGGGGCTGCTTTTTTTTGAAAGTAACATAAATAGTTTAATTACATTTATTTGGAACTAAGTCTAGGTGACAATGGCTATGAAAATTTTGAAGAGAAGTGATAAGCAAGAACTTGCCTGTAAGATAATTACAAGCCTATTATGTTTAGGATAATATGAGACTGACAAAGAATAAGTAGGTAAATCTAAAAAGCAAAAGAGTTAGCCTTGAAATTGTATATATTATATCTTTCTATACAATAGAAGATCATCTAAAATCAATGGGAAACAAGTTAATTGTCCAATGAATGGTGTTGAAAATTTGAGCTATTTGGAAAAAGCTGTTCCTTGTATTTCATCATGTAATAAAATTTTATTTCAGGTAGATTAAAAAGGCAAATGTAAGGAAGGAGACTTTTAAAAATCTAGAAGAAATTGTGATGAGAATTGACTGTATAACCATAAAAATAATAAAAGAACAAGATACAAAACTTCACATAGAGTATAAATTTGATTTCATAAAATAAAACCAACTCTGGCATGCACGTGTGCATGTGTGTGTGTATGTAAAAATGATAGAAATACAGTGACTTTTATTTTCTTATCTTGCTTTCTGTGTTTTTTTAATATTCTCTGCAGTGAGCCTGTTACTTTTATATTCATAAATGAATCTGTTTTATGATATGCCAAATAAGCTAGGGAATAGGTTAATAATAAAGAAAGAAGGTTAAGGGATAAACTCCCAATAAAATTGATTTTTAAATATAAACAAAGCCCTATTCAATATAGCAAGAAAAAAAATGAGAAAATTTGGTCAAAAAGAAAAATAGCTCCAATTTTTTCAACAGACATAAGAAATCATTAAAAGTGAAAGGAGTTTTTCTGTTAAACCAAACAGAAAACATCTGATAGTTGTCTGTAGACCTAGTATGTAGGTCTGTCTGAACAAAGTATGTCACTCCTCAGGGCCACCACTATAAAACAGGAAGCTTCAGCTAAACCCAGTCTGATTGTGCAAACCTGGCTGATGAGCTTTTTACTGGGTGACTTTTAAAACCAGCAATATGCATAGTGCTACTATGTGGCAAGTTTTATGTCATTCACGTAATAAGTATTTTCTCATTTAAATCCTCTCAGTTACTCTAAGAAGTAGGTACCGGCCGGGCGCGGTGGCTCAAGCCTGTAATCCCAGCACTTTGGGAGGCCGAGGCGGGTGGATCACGAGGTCAAGAGATCGAGACCATCCTGGTCAATTTGGTGAAACCCCGTCTCTACTAAAAATGCAAAAAATTAGCTGGGCATGGTGGCGCGTGCCTGTAGTCCCAGCTACTCAGGAGGCTGAGGCAGGAGAATTGCTTGAACCCAGGAGGCGGAGGTTGCGGTGAGCCGAGATCGCGCCATTGCACTCCAGCCTGGGTAACAAGAGCGAAACTCCGTCTCAAAAAAAAAAAAAAAAAAAAAAAAAAAGAAGTAGGTACCATTAACCCCACTTTAAGTTGAAGAAAATGAGACCAAAAGTCACACAGCCAGTTAAATAGATGTTTGAACCCAGGCAATCTGTGCCCAGTGTCCATGCTCTTAACTATTAGCTGGACTCAGAAATGTATCCTTGAAAAGCTACCCAAATGATTTACCTAATCAATTTGACTAGTTTGCCTCACAGTTTTTTTTTTTCCAGATCTCAATTCTATGATTTTGTTTTATCATTTCTTTATGATTCCTTGTCATATCAATTCCTTGGAGTAATAATGTTCAATAGTTGACCAGGCCCCTCAGGAGAAATCCCTGTGAGAAGCCAGACTGTGAAAGATAGAAGTGTTTCCAAACTCATCTTGGATCATCTTTCATCAGCACAAAATCTGAGCTGTTTCAGCAGGTACACAGTTTCCCCAGTTTCCCAAATAAACAAATTATAGAGTGCATGAATCAGCAGCACAGCATGTTAAATATTTCCAATAAATGGAATCCAATTATTTCAGTATAAAGAGAGCAAAAGAAAGAAAGACAAGAGAATTAAAAGCCATTGGAAGATGCAGTAGGTCTTTGGGAGCCTGTCTCCTTGATGAGCCAGCCCTTCATCCCAAAGCCTGGAAGGGTGACAGATCTGTGACAAACATAAACATGAGACTGAGATTCTCCTCCCCAATAGTTTCCTGTGACCTTGCAGAGTGGGCCCCCTGACTTCAAGAGGGGCAAAAGGAAGCATCAAAGAGAAGGTATTGTGAAAGGTCAAATGGCAGCTGAAGAGTAGTGGAGGTAAAGGAGGAAGAAGGTTAGCATATAACTAGCCCCACTTCTTCCCAAATCACTGTAGTGATAGTGGACCTAGAAGAGAACCAGAGAAGGGAAATTTTATATACAAACTACTGTTTTAAGCACTTACTAGCAGAACCAATAAGCCTGCAGTTCCAATGAGTCACTGGTAGTTTCACCCCCAAAACACAGGAACTCTCCCTGGCATGAGAGCTGGCATGAGCACCCCCATTCTCTTACTGTGAATCCTGGGGGAACCCACACATAAAACCAAACTCTACCTTGTACACAACTTTACTCCTGCTATCTGTGAGGTCCAGTTGGATGGAGATATAATCAATGTTGGGTGAAGGGGGATCCAGATGCTGATAACGAAGCCCCATCAGCAGGAACTCCTCACAGCTCACTTTGAGGCTTTCTATTTTCTTTAATCCTGGGGTACAGCTTCCACCTGGACACTTCAGTTTTGCTCCCAGTTCTAGAAGGTACAGCATTGGATTAAGATAGTCACTCAAACATAACAAATGTGAAATTTAAAAACCAGTGCTCCCTCCCATGAATACTTATTCCCTCTCACTGCCTCAAGAACACTCATATACCCTCCAATCATTCACTGGGTGGCTTGTCATGATTCTGAAAGCTTGTAATTTTCTTTACTACAAAACAGTTGATCAGGTGTCTCACCACGCCCTCACCCACCTAAAGTTAAACTGAGAGAAAATATAATGAAATGTGTTTTCTGAGGCTTGAACATCTCTGACAAATAGACCAGTGACGCACTGCAGGCCTTCGACAGTCCAGCTCCAGTCTTTCCTCTACAGCACCAGCTTCCATGTCTCTATCACACAATCTCGGCTAGACTGTCTGCTCACTGAAACCCCCTCCCGTGTGGCTCTCACTCATTCAAATCCTGCATATCCTCCTAGGTCCACTTAGTCTTTTCACTAAGCCTTCCTTTAAACATTCTTTGATCACCTGAACCAACATGCTCTTTCTCATTGAAAACTATAATTGTCTCTCTAACAGTCTTCACATCTCTGAACAACTGTATTTTTTACCCTTGTTTGGTATGTAATAATCATAAGTTACTTTAAAATTAAAAAACAATTTGTAGAGATGGGGTCTTGCTAGTTTGTCCAGGTTGGTCTTGAACCCCTGGTCTCAAGTAGTCTTCCTGCCTCAGCCTCCCAAAGTGCTGGGATTATAGGTATGAGCCACCATGCCCAGCCACCCACTTTTTTTCCTTTTTTTTTTGAGTCTCATTTCTCTGATGTACAAAATAGAATAAATGTGCCTCTAATTTGTCATTCTGTCCAAATTCAAAGTATTACTACTATTACTCTGATTATCCTTTACATTTCTTGTTTTCTCACAGTTTCTAGAGAGAACAGGAGGTGCCCAAAATATATTGACTGAGTGAATAGCAGAAAGAATGTTATCCATCAACTCTTCCTAATTTAATCTATCATTGCTACCAAGTAGCTTTACTTCAAACTTGCTCATAATCCAGTAATAGTCCATAAATGCACCAACTACTGCTCTTGCTATTACTAATAACAACTGACAATTAATGAGTACCTACTGTGAGCCAGACACTGTGTTAAGCATAGTATATGTATAACCTCATTCACTCTTATCCTTACCCAACACTACAGGGCAGCTATTATCCTTTCTCATTTTAGAGAGGCTTAGACAGGTTAATAATTAACATTACACAGAAAATAAAGAGTGGAGGAAGTTCTCAAAACCAGGTCTTTCTGATTGCAAAGTCTCTTAACTACTAACTGACACTGTTCAGCCAGCTAAAATTTGTATTAATTAACTAGAACTCTTCCTCATGGTGGAAGGTGAACATACATGGATATTTTTGTCAACTTTAGTAACACCCAGATAAGCATTAAAAGACATACGGGACTCTGGGAGAAAACTGTGTGGCTGATCTCCACGAGGTTCTTCTGGCCGAGGCTCCCCCAGAACTGTCTGACCATGGGCTGGCAGTCGAGTTCTCGCAGTGTCCAGGCTGACCGTGCATTCCAGTCTAGCCATCCTATCATAATCGAATCTAAGCAGATTTTGATCAATTGCTTGGGACAGTCCATTGAATTCAGGCACCTCCAGCACATTGCTACTCATACGGATGATGTTACAGTCTGGTTCCAGGAGATAGACCCGCAGGATAAAGGTTTCTATGAAGGTATCTGTTTCAGTAAATCTGTGGAGAACACAGGGCAAAAGCAGTATTAATTGGTGCTCAGAAATTTCTGATGCCTGTGTACTCAGCTGGATGCTTAAAGATTGGCCTTCACAAAATTTCTACCACAGATTGAGTTTGGATTTTGTTTCAGGCTCTACCCCCAGCCTCTCTGTTCCCTTCCCTTCTTTTCTTTACTCTGGTGTCAACACCTTTTCCTGCCACTTCTTCCTCCCAACATCTTTCTTTTAACACCTGCTCTCAAACTCATCATGCATATGGATATTTAATGACTGCTGAGACCTCAGAGTCTAATTCTAGCACGGGTGTAATTTAAGAGTATTAAGCATCTATAATTTCCGGATTGAGTTTTAATTCAGGAGTGAAGTAGTGACTGGTCTCTGAAGCATTCAGGCCTTTTTGCCCTCCAGAAATACCACTACATGGGTGGTCATTTGCAGCCTAGTTTGGGTGCCCAGCTCAATGCTTGGCATGTAAAGCATATTCAGCAATTGCCACTTCCATTCCCTCCATCTTTTTAGCAACTCTAATCTCAGAGTGTTTGCAGAGTCTAAAAGAGAGGGGTTTTCATTTTTTTTGAAAAGAGAAGATTAATGAGTGATTAGCATGCATCAATAATGCAGCTTCTAATTGATGTGCTCTTATTATGGCCTAGGCAATATGCTAAATTCTTTACAGTCGTATATAATTCAATCATTATAAAAACCTAGGACAGACACTGTTAATCCCATTTTATGGAGGAAGAAACTGAGGCATAACAAGCTCAGGTAACTTGCCAAAGGGGCTGGAGGAGGAGAAGTGGTAAGAGGGGAATAAGTATGTTCCCTGATCTTCTGCTGCCTACTCCTCTGAATATTTTATTTTAAATGTGCTTAAGATCAAGAGTAGAAGAAGCTCCTCTAACCCCGCCTTTCATGTGTACTCTTCCAACCTCCCAGCAGCCTAGAAACCCAAGGACGGAGTGGGAGCAGCAAGAATTCATCGGCTTTTTTAAGTTTTTTAAATTTATTTTCATTTTTAATTTTTGTGGGTACGTAGATGTGTGTATATATACATTTTATGAGGTACATGAGATACCTTGATAGAGGCATGTAACGTATAATAATCCCATCTTAATAAATGAGGTATCCATTCTCTCAAGCATTTATCTTTTTTCTTTTTGGGACAGAGTCTCACTCTGTTGCCCAGGCTGGAGTGTAATGGAAACAGGACAGGGCTAAAAATTGGCTACAGAAGAACCCTAAGGAAGATGACACAAATGGAAGTAAGTGGAAGTTGGCTGCAAAGCTTGCCTCATCCACTCAGGCCTCTAGTTTCTGTTATTTTCTTGTCTGGAATCTATTAACTCCCCTCATGACAATACATATCCATAGGAAAAGCCCTCAAAAGTACACAGAATGGTTAATTGGCAGCAAATGAGCAACGTTCTTGTGCCACTTACCTGTAAAGTCTGAGCTTCACTGTGTCTTCATCAAGAATTGGACAACCATTGTGAACATACTTGACTTCATTGGGAAGGAAATGGCAGTCAAAGACCTAGTTCACATGAAGAATTGGATAAATATTTATGAGAAAATTGGTACAACTGGTACAAAAAATTGGCAGGAGAGTAGCGCCTGGAGAAAATATGGTCTGTTAGCAAAGTGTGTATGTGTGTGTGTCTTCACCACCGCCCCCTCTAGCCTACCCCCAAACCCACTCACCGTCCTATCTATACAGCTGTGTCTTGTTTAGAGAATATCTCAATTGTGAAAACCAAAGCAGATCGAGAAAATTAAAGGACAATCGCCTCTCTAAATAAGTGTCTTTTTACCATCTAGAGTGCATTTAAAACATGGTTTCATTTTTCAAAATTTTATTTACCCCCTTCAGGGGTTCACAGCAATTTTCTGTGTGTCTACATTAAAAGGTGTGCTTTAACCCACCCTCAGATACACTGTATTCTTTCTGTATATGTGTGTTCTCCTTTTATTTCTTTCTTTTCCAAATAGTATTCTCATATTCAAAGATGAAGCTACTAACTATGGACACTATTGTGGTTAATCAGAGTCCAGCATGACACACAGTTGTGTCTTATATACACAATACTTGTGTCTTATATACTTTTATTAGTTAGGCAATAGCAGAAATGGTGGATAAGACAAATAGAAACCTAAAAGCAATTTCTTCTATTAAAATGAAATTATAGTGAACTGTCTCACCTCACTCAGAATTATTAAGGACATTGCCAACTGCTATATTTTGGGAACCTGATTTTTAGAAGAAGAATCATCTGTCCCACCCACATCATGCCCCTCATTCTGCCCAATCTGACTTTGGTAGAGTTCTAAGAAATACCCTTGAAGTATGCATGTATGTTCGCCATTGGTGTTTTGTCTGTACTTATTCACAGGCTCAAACATTTTCAGGCAACAGAATCTACTCAGAGAAGACTTCAACACTAATACAAATGAGTTTCTTTTCCCACAGATATCATTGGTTCCTCTTTTTAATTGACAACTAGCAAGGAGATAAAGCAAAGACCTTCCCCATATCATTGACAAATAGTCATGGTAATAAAGAGACAATCTGCTTTGTTAAAAGAAACATCTGTTTTATGTTTCATAATATGTTTTCCTTTTATAAAAGGCGACAGCCGTAATTGTCCATAAATTTGCTAACTAAAACAAAGGAGAGCTAAATCCTTTTCTAATTACTGTCTAGCTTTGTTTTTTTCCACTTCAACTGCTTTTCAATTACAATTTATAATTAAATTGTCACACATCCTAACTCATTACTCACTTTAATGACAGTAAACTGGTTCAAACTAGAGATACTTTCTTACTGCTATATTTCCTATATAAAAAAGCAAGTTCAGCACTAACCTGGGGGGCTTTTCCACCCAGCATATTTCTTGCTTTGGGCTAGATGTGAGAAGTGCCATGTGTGAGGGAGTCTTGTCGGAAAACATGAGGAAAACATATTGCTGTCGACCTCATCTAATTGACTACAGCAAGAGGGTTATCTAAACAGAAGGCACTGGTGTGCACCAATTGAAATCCCTTTCCAAATATTCAATAGGAAAATGTACCTGTTGGTCCTAAGACAAACTTCAGTAACGAAATGAAAACACTAATTGAACAGATGTTAGACAAAACATTTTCTGTGCAAATCACATGAAACTGTTCATTACACAGCAGGGTGTTGTTAATACAGTCATCTCACTAGAAATGGGTTCACATAAGCTTGGCTTTCAACTTATTACTAAGCTCTATTAAAGAATAATGTTCAGGCTGTGTGTGCATGTGTGTGTTGTGTGTGTGCGTGTGTACACCTGTGCACGTGCATTTAGCTATGCTTAATTTCTAAAACTCCATAAGAAATAAACCCCTAGGGGAGGGCTGAACCATCCTGGGTTAAAAATCAAGCACAAATTCAACAAAAAACAAAACAAAACAGACTTGACTTGGGAACCTTGTTTTTGTTGAAATCATGAGAATAACAAATAGCAATGAGCACCTGGCAGTTTGAGGAGCAAAGTTTTCTCCCATGATACAGATTTGTCTAACACAAAGTTCTAACATTTGGCCAAAAAAGGTGATGAAACTCCATATTTTAATGAACTTCTTTACTGTAGAATAAATATTAGAAGATACAAATCACATACTGACTTTAGAGCCTATAAATCCATTTGAGATATCATATTTGCCTCAGGAAATACATACACTAAGTATTCATGACTTGATTCTACTTTTTTAAAATAAGCAACAGCAGGCTAGAGAATCAGCATATTCAGAGGTGTTTCTCAGCAGCCAAGAGTGTCCTAAATCAGCCAGGCAACTTGTTGTTTCTTCTCTATCGTGTCTTTCTAGTAAGTTCTACCTTAAAATCAGAGAGTGAGATGGAGATGACTTGCAGGTCTGTTCCAATCCTTGATTCTTGTAACGGAATGTTTTTTACCTACTTCTAGTCACTTGGATCCTTTTTTCCTCCTCAGTGCCTTGGAACAGGCCAAGCAATCAGGACCATTCAAACATCACTAAAAATAGATAATGGAAACAATTGTATTTCTTTCAGAGAAGGTGCCATATATGGTAAGGAGTCAGAGGCCATTTGGGATAGAAAGAGGAGAGCTCTCAGAGGCTGGCTTAGGTAACAATAGATCCTCCCCAAACTGCACTAAGGAGGAGAATCTGGTCATCTGCAGAGCTTTTGTTTAGCTCAGTTGGGCATGCATGCTTGAGGTCCAAACTGGAAGACAGCTTAGTCAGCTTGCTCCTGCAAGCTACTAATGGAAATTTTGCTTCTTGTCTTTTTCCCAAAATACTCAGCCCCACTTCTAAATAAATGTTGAATGACTTTTCAAAATAAATTGATTGGAAGAGGTACCATATTATCAATCATCAGTCTTTATAAGACACTCATGTGCCAGCACAGCCCTGGGTTCCTGTGTTATTAAAGGCCCCAGTCCTCTAGGATCAGGCCCCCAATTTACCCCAGTCCTCTAGAATCAGGGTCCTAATTTACCCCAGTCCTCTAGAATCAGGGTCCTAATTTACCCCAGTCCCCTAGGATCAGGGCCCTAATTTACCCCAGTCCTCTAGGAGCAGGGCCCTATTTTACCTCTCTCAAAATTCTACAGGCTGCATTCTCCATTTGTCTATCTGTCTGACTGGTTTTTTTTTTGAGAAGGGCTCACACTGTTGCCCAGGCTAGAGTGCAGTGGCACAATCTCAGCTCACCGCAACCTCCACATCCTGGGTTCAAGTAATTCTCATGCCTCAGCCTCCTGAGTAGCTGGGCTTACAGGTGTGTGCCATTACCCCTGTCTAATTTTTGTATTTTTCGTAGAGATAGGGATTCACCATGTTGACTAGATTGATCTCCAACTCCTGGCCTCAGGTGATCCACCCCGCTTAGCTTCCCAATCTATTGGGAATTACAGGCGTGAGCCACTGCAACCAGCCTGCATTTTCCCTTTGACCCCAGTCCCTGTAGCTGGGTCTCTGTTGCCCAGTGCTGAGCTTATTTGTATTGCTTCGTCATCTTATTTACCACATTGGGGTTCCAGTATGAGCAATCCCACGAGTCTTCTTTTTCCCTGAGTGGTAAGTGCCAATCAAAACATATGCAAAATGCAAGTATAATTGGAGTAACTGAGGAAATGTTGCAACTACCAAACACTTGGGAATACAATGGCTAATATGTGGGGCCATTGTTGTGTTCTAACATTTTTAGATACCCATTTAAAGCTCTTTGACAGACAATAAAATCTTGTAACTAGGCAGAGACATTTGGTTACTATCACATCAGAAATATGTGCAATGTGAGACTCTATTCCATAGAATTCTGATGTGTTTCAGAATGGGTCTCTAAGTGTGGTAAATGAAATGTCTAGAGATACCAATTGAGCTAGTATCCATCTACGTCTTTTTATTCTCTCTCTGCAACAACTAGTACCACTTTTGAATAACCTCATGGATTATGTTTCTTTAGCCAAATGAAAAGAAAATAATGTTCACAGTTCAGCAAAAGAGAATGGTCCATTTTTCCAGAAGCAGCAGAAGCATCTAGTGTTGAATATTCTCAAGATTGTTTGCACTGGGAGCAAAGTTACAAGACAGTAGGAACAAGTAATAAAATCAGACACAATTTTTAACATTATGTATAGTGGTAACTCCTACTTTAAGCAAAAAACAGTGTAAGAGAATACAGACTTTTCAAACCCAATGAATTAGGAGGTAACTCTTCACTCTACAAAAGGATTTGCCATAGAATACCCTTAAATATAAAGGTCTCCAAGATTTTGATTAAAAGGAAAAAAATTATGCAGATATTTTCAAAGAACAGTGAATATTTTAAATGAAGTATCTTCACATCTCTTTTCTACTTCTTTTCCCTTATTGAAAAGAATGTTTATGTGATATTAATAGATAAAACATCAAGTTTTACCTTTGCTATGCTAAGGTCACAAATATGTCCTAAATATGTCTTGAAATCTTGACCTCTTATCCACTCTGACTGGCAATGGATATGATAATTTGGGGCAAGGATAACTCCAATGTAATTCTCTTACATTATGCTTTGTGCTTTTTCTCTGTATAATTAGCTACTCTATAATAAGGTCAAGCAGCTGGTAAGATATGCCAGAGTTATCTTCAAGAAAAGAGGAGAAATTGGAAAGACTTACTGAAATAGTGCATTGTTAAGAAAAAAATATATGCATTCTGCTTTCCCCCACAAGAGTTATTATAATCAAGATTAAATCCTGCTGGTTTCAGGCTTGTAATCTGAAATCAGCCAAGAATGCTTTAAAAATAGGTTTTACCTCACATAGAAAAGCAGGGCAATATACTATGCCTGCTAAATGCAACTACACCAATTCAAATGTGAACGTCTTCTAATACTCGTCTTTGATGGATTGAGGGGAGACCTTTTACATCTCTACTCTGTCTTTGCCCCCCGCTCATTTTCATACACTTGCATTCATACACATGACTGAACAGAAAATCACAGATAGGACCTACCTGTGGAGTGAGTTTCCCAACCCTCTGGGTTATTGGCTCATTCGTCACAACTTCCACTTTGCAGGCATCTTTCTCTTTGGGGATGGCAAACTTCAGGTCATCTTCTGACAGGAAGGTGGAGTGGCCCTTCATCACCCTCACCCCACGGTTGACACTGATGAAGGTGGGGCTGGCCCAGGCCAGGAGGAGCAGCAGCAGCAGCAGCAGGGCATTCACCAACCCCCAACTCGGAGAGTTCATGCTGACAGGGCCCAACTCCCTTCCGTCCACCAGCGAAATCCCTTCAACAAAGGAGGGCTTCTGTGGTTCCACCTGGAGGGTCAGCTCATAGTCCAAGGGGCAGGGCGAGGGGTCTTGACAATGTGCCCTGAAATCTTAACATGCCCCTTTCATTTCAAAGTCAGACAAGGAGGCCTTTCAGGCAATCCCGGGGCTTTTAATAAAACTCGCTGATCGCTCCTGACAAGGCCGGCAAGATTAACGTGCCTCCCAAGTGCTTTTCTAATCCTGCAAATGGGAGAAGGGGTTGGAGTAAAGCAAGAGAGAGACCAAAAGGTTTGTGCGGCTATTCAAAAGATCGCTACCAACAAAGGGATCTTTCAACCAGCCTATGAGTTCAGCTAAATTAAAAACAAATAAACTAACTTGACCTCCAGACCCATCTGAAAGGCAATGCAGCCACTTCATTACCCTGCTTGTAGCTCCTGCTTCCGGACTGGACTTACCCCAATCAGGATGTCAATTGTGTGGTCCAGGAGGAAACAGCCAGCCTCAATGCCAATAAATGTGCTTTTGGTCCCCTGAGTTCATAGACTGTTGTCTAACTCTTTCTCTTTCCTCATAAATGAGGATTATAATCTAATTTTTCTCAGAGAGTTGATAGGATTATTAACACATTGTTTGAAAACATGATTAATTCTGAATCAATGCTACCCCAATAAGAAAGAAATTTAACCATTTGTCACACTGGGCACGCTTCTAACTTTGCTGGGCAATGAAGACACCTAAGAAACCCTTGAGTGGAAATTACAGAAATATGCCCTTTTTCTAAGTAAACATTCAAGTTTTCATTTATTCATGAAAGGGACTAGGAATGGGATGACACAGCTTAAGCACACACAGCTAATGACACGGTGTATGGACATGAGTATTTATACTATCTACAACACTAATTACATTCCCATGTACTCAACATGCACAAATAGAGTCTTTGTTTCCACTTTATGCACTTAGAATTTCATGATAATTTCTCCGTGTTCCATAAGAACTGAAAAGATTTTATCTAAGGTAAAATGCATTGAAATATATCCTTAAATTCAGAGTATAATTAGGTGAACAAATGGCGAATTGTTTTGCCCAAAGAAAGACCTTCCATCTTAATAATTTCATTAAATATCTGTGCGTAACCAGTAGATACCAAAATGAATGTTTGTCAGAAGGCTGTAGAAAAACAAGTGCCTCCATTATTCATGTCTAATCCATTTCCATTCCCTTGTCACTGTTTGCAACCTTTCACTTTTGAGGCAGTGCCTGACATGTGTCACCTGATACCTGAGGGGGTGTATACTTTACAGAGCAGCCTGGCTTTTTCTGTTTTGATTTGTTTTGTTTTTGAGATGGAGTCTCGCTCAGTCACCAGGCTGGAGTGCAGTAGGAAGATCTCGGCTTACTGCAACCTCTGCCTCCCAGGTTCAAGTGATTCTCTTGCCTCACCCTCATTACAGCTACCTGCCACCACACCTGGCTAATTTTTGTATTTCTAGTAGAAACAGTTTCACCATGTTGGCCAGGATGATCTTGATCTCCTGACCTTGTGATCTGTCCACCTCAGCCGCCCAAAGTGCTGGAATTACAGGTGTGAACCACTGCGCCTGGCCAGATCGGCATGTTTTTTATGGTATCAATCCCAGAATAAAACTGTTCACACACTCCCACTGACTCCATTGCCCACAATCAGCCTAATTTAGGTTGACTTATTTAGGCATGAATGCACATTTGGTTGTTGAGCTTTCACAAGATACATTATTTTTTCTACTCATATTTGGCATTTAAGACCACTGAAGACAACAGCGCATTCAGGGAGAGGAGAGGCAACAGGATAGGTAGGTGTCTCCCAAAACTGGGGGGTAAGAGGAAACTTTGCTTTCTGAGATTTAAACTAGTTAACTCAACACATGGAGGCATCAAGGACTCCACACTCCTGCAGTCCTCTTATCTCACTCCATCTCACTTTGTCTCCTTAGCTGGTTCTTTCTAGACTCCCTGACTTTTTAATGCTGGGACCAGTCATAGGACCTGTTTTGTATCTATACTCATTCCTTAGTGATCTCATTCATTGGCCTTAAATACCACCTATGTGTCAATGGACCTCAAACTTATACCTCTAGCCTGGATCCCCCTGAGTAACTCTATATTCGCATATGCAACTGCTGCTTGACATCTCTGGGTGGCGTATAAAAGGCATCTCATACTTCATGCAGCCAAAATTGAGTTCTCGATCATCCCTCCCTCAGTCTTCTTTATCTTAATTAATAGCAACTCCAACTTTTCAGTCGTTCCTTTCTTCATCACATATTCTACATCAGACAAAATATCCTGTTGTTTCTTTATGGTAGACAGATCTTAGGTGACTCCCCAAATAATTCCAGCCTCCTAGTATCCAAAAGTACCTTCTCCTTGAGTGCCAGCAGAAACTGTAACACTTCCAACCAACAGAATTAGACAAAGATGATGGGTGTCACTCCAATGATTACATTTTATCATACAGGAGACTTTCTCTTGGCAGACTGGAACCAGAGGCTCTCCTGAACATGAAGAAGCAAGCCTCCATGAGTTCTACGGCCACAAGAAAATGAATTTTGCCAACACTCTCAATGAGCTTGGAAGTAGCTTCTTTCTAAGTCAAGGCTTCAGATAAGAATGAAGGTCATCAACTTCTTCATTGCAATCTGGTGGTAACCTGAAGCAGAGAACCCAGCTAAGCCATAATGTGACCCTAGATCAAGGGAAACTATGAGATAAATTTGTATTATTTTAAGCCACAAAATTTATAGCAATTTGTTACACAAAAGTAAAAAGTTAATACACTCTTCCTTCCAAACATATCCAGAATCCAGCTATGTCTTACACTTCCATTGTGATCACCCTGGTCCAAGCCACCACCAAGTCTCTGCTGGATGATTGCAATAGCATCCTATTTGATCTCCCTACTTCTACTCCTGACTTTCCTTTAGGCATTTCTCAGCATCACAGCCGAAGACACTCTGTGATCTGTTTTCCTCTTATCTCTCTCAGCTCCTCTCCCATTTGTCTTCCCTTTGTCGACCCTGTCCCAGCCACACTAACTTCTTTGCTTTTCCTCAAATAAATCAAGATCCACCTTTCCTCCTTCCTCTCTCCCCGACTAAAGCTTCTCACTTCTGTCATTTCTGACTTGAATGTTCTTCCCCCAGATACCCCTCCTTCCACCTCTCCACTCTCGAGTTCCCATCAAACGTCACACATGCAGTGTGGTCATACTTAACAACCCCATTAAAATTATGTCGGTCTCATCTCCTAGCATCCTTTACCACTTTTCTATTTTGTTTTTAACTTAGTGCTTTCTAACCACCTGACATAATGCATTTGATCCTTTATATTAGGTCAGTGCAATAGTAATTGCAGTTTTCACCATTACTTTTAATGGCAAAAAACATTGAAATTACTTTGGTATCAACCTAATATTAGTCACTGCCATGTCCCTCAAGAAGATGTGAATTTTTTTTTTTTTTTTTTTTGAGACTGAGTTTCGCTCTCGTTACCCAGGCTGGAGTGCAATGGCGCGATCTCGGCTCACCACAACCTCCGCCTCCTGGGTTCAGGCAATTCTCCCGCCTCAGCCTCCTGAGTAGCTTGGATTACAGGCACGCACCACCATGCCCAGCTAATTTTTTTTTTTTGTATTTTTAGTAGAGACCGGGTTTCACACTGTTGACCAGGATGGTCTCGATCTCTTGACCTTGTGATCCACCCACCTTGGCCTCCCAAAGTGCTGGGATTACAGGCTTGAGCCACCACGCCCGGCTGAAGATGTGAATTTTTATAATTTTTACTCATGGATTTATCCTCAGTATCTAGAACAATGCCTGATACACCAATGAATATTTGTTAACTAAGTGAGTAAACTGGAGAAAACAATTCCTTAAATTCCCTTATACTGATTATAGTTTAAACCCAGGAATATTAATATATCCTTAAAAAAAAAAAAAAGGCTAGGCATAGTGGCTCACACCTGTAATCCCAGCACTTTAGGAAGCCAACGTGGGCAGATCACCTGAGATCAGGAGTTCAAGACCACCCTGGCCAACCCTATCACTACTAAAAATACAAAAATTATTGCTTGGTGGTGGACGCCTGTAGTCCCAGCTATTCGGGTGGCTGAGGCAGAAGAATTGCTTGAACCCAAGAGGCAGAGGTTGCAGTGAGCCGAGATCACGCCACTGCACTCCAGCCTGGGACACAAGAGCAAGATTTCATCTCAAAAAGAAAAAAAAAAGAAAAAGAACTGGCATCATAAGCAGACACCATTAGCCATGGATCAAGATGTCACATGAATTCTATTATTGAGAATCTGTCACAAAAAGGCAGATCGTCCTGGGATATATGAACAAAGTCCATTTTCTGTGCCCATAATGCTGAGGCTGAGACTCCTGACTCTGGAAAATGCCACACTCTGAGACTTCCTGATGATTGGCTGACTAGTCCTTCCCAGGCAGCACCTCCAGTCAAACACCAAAAGAAGAGGTGCTACAAAATCTGAGGTAAAAATCAAAATCCATCAACGTTTGTTTCATTATTGCCACACAACACTGAGACTCCATCCACTAGAGATGAAAGCAACCTCTACAAGAATACATGAACAAGAATGTTGATTGCAGCAGTGTCCATAGAGAAACTGTAAGCAAAGCATAGCAAACAACGCAAATGCCCATCAGGAAGGAAATGGTTAAATAGCGTAGGTGTATTTATACCATAGAATGGCATGCCACTTTTAAAATTTGAATTAGAGATATATCATTCAACTTGAAAGGATTTCTACAAGGTATTGGGGAGTCAGAAAAAATAAAATGTAGAAAAGTATGCTTCCTTTTGGTAAAGTAATTCTAAAAGCTGTGTCTGTGTATATGCATATACGTATATGAGATGTATGTTGTATTAACATACAATTAAATGGGCATGGAGAAAAATATGGACAGATAAGCATCGCATTGTTGGTACAGACAATCTGAAAGGAGCAATATGGAATACATAGACGGAAGAAAAATGAGGAAGTGCTCTGTCTAAATGTTTGTGTCCCCTCACCAAATTTATATATTGAAGCTCTGATTTCCAATGTGATGGGATTAGGCCTTGCGGAGGCATTAGGTTACACGAGGTCATGAGGGTAGAGTAGTCATGATGGGATTCTTAGAAGAGGATGAAGAGATTAGAGCACTCTCTCTCTCTGGCCATGTGAGGCTTACAACAAG